CACTGCCATGGCAAATAAAACCAAAACAAATGGTAAAACCCAACTAACAACAAAACTGTGCAAACCTCAGATGTAGTTTAGTTGAGTCACACAGTTCCTCTGATCTGGGGAAGTCCAGTTGCAGTCGTGGGGTTTTTTTGATCTTCCAATGGGAGATCTCTGTCAAAACAGCCTGGTTAGTTTGTATTTCTTTCAGTGGCTGATGCTTTTGTTTTGTGAGCCTTGCTCTCCATGCTTTCCTGCATGTCGTCCTTGTTAGTGTTGCATAAAAGGCTAACTAAACAGTGGTACTTCCCTTGTGCAAAGCTTTAAAAATCATGCCTGCAGCAAAGAGGGAATCTTTGCTTGGAAAATGTCACTAATGTATAAAACTGGGCTTCTTCTTTGTGGAAGGAAAGGGAGCCCTTCAAATAATAATGGGTTGCCCGATGGAGCAGTAAAGGAGTCCTTCCTTAGTATGGAGTCAGCCACTGTTTGGCTGCTGTCTGTGGCCTCTTTAGGCTTGGGTGGACTGACAGCCCTATTCTGTTACGTATCAGTGTAGTGGTTACTTTGATTCCTGCAGGCAGTGTTTAAACCATCAGGAAGACTCAGAAGAGCCGCAGCAGTGATGCTTTGGAGCTATTGTGTATAGGGATATGCATTTCAAATTGTAAATGAGAATAAAGATGCAGGTAGCAGTGACACAAGACCTCCTTCTTCAGTAGACCATGGAAAATAAGAAAGAAGAGTAGGTGATTTACTACCTGGATGTTCTTGCTAGGAAGTGAAGGCCAAATTTGTGAGCTTGATGTGCAAATGAATGCAGTGAGCCCAAGCATATATGATTTGAGGGAATGCATTCAAAATTAATCGGATTGTGTAGGCCTCCTCTCTTTAAAAATGTCTAAAGACAGAACATGATGAATGTGCACTGTACCTTTGTAAGAGAATGGGGACCTGAATAATGCCTGAAGAGGAGAGGTGAGTGACAGAACTGTGGTGGGGGAACAGATGAGCAGGGGAGCGTACAGAGTCCCATGCCTCCCGTGCCTGTCAGGGAGTGGAAACAAAAGCTGGAGAGTGGCTTGAAGGGTTTTAAAGCGTGATGTGGCATATAATGCCACTGTCACGTGGGTGAAACATTTTCTCACCTGAGGCAGGTGGGACAGGAAAATAGCCACAGTTACCATGTGGGATATGCAGTAAAGAAATAAAAGGAACAATTCAGATGTGCCATATATTCAGCATGTGGAATCTATTAAAAATAGATTTTTACTTTTATTTTGCTTATAGCAGTAGGCAAAGAAATATTGCTGGCTAATATTTTGCAGCCTGACACATTCCAGCTATTTCTATTGTAAGCATTTAGTACATCCAGTTAACTTTAGTTGAAGATTTACATTCTCCAATCTTAATAGAAATTTGAGACATATGGTTATTGAGATTTCATTTTCTAAAGAAGGGGGCAAGTTCTATTTAAAATACCTCAGTATGTTCCCTAAATGTTTGATGTAAAGTGGGAAAAGCAATTTTTTTCTGAAAATCTGTATGCACAGTAGTTGCTACTGCATCAGGAGAATGGAATTTATCAGTACTTTCCATTTGCACTACTTTGACAGCTGCATCACATATCACTTCTCTGAAGCAGGTAAGTGGTTAACAAAATAAGGAAATGGGTATAGACAAAAATGCAGATCTGAACTGATTGAGCAGGTTCTATTAGGTCACTGATACTCTGTCACTGTAAACCAGTTTTTCTGTTCCTTGTATTCCTCTCCTTATATAGTCTAGGTTGGTTTTTTTTCCTTTTTTCTCTCAGCATCATTTAAAGTTATCGCATTTGAATGCCATTTTTGGCATCTTTGAAAAATGCCAGTTACTCAGGGCTGCTGGGGCCTCGTTGTTGATATTTTGTTTCTAACTCTTAAGAAAAGCAAGGTACAGACACAGCCTCTATGCAGCTGCCTGTGTGGACATTTGTGTCTCAGCTGCAGTATAAAGTCTGCTCTGTGGCAGCTGTGAAATTGATCTCTGATTTTTGAGAAGGTGTAGAGATATAGAATTAAGGTTTTAATGAGCAAGGGTATGTGCCTGAATTTTCAAAGTATGTTAGTAATTTCCTAGTTTAATGTAGAAAGAGTGGGTAGGAAGGGAATGGAGACTGGTGTTTAGGGCCTGGCAAAGAACCAGGAGCTGCAAATTTGGATCAAATCAAATTTAGGAACCTTTGTACTAGAACATGTAGGATATTCGACTGCAGACAGTAGTATGTTTTACTGAAAGTTTCTCAAGGTCTTGAGCTCCTGTTCTGTGAATTTGCAGTAAAAATTCAAATTCTTAATTGCATAGAAGAGAGTGAGGACTCAGCTTTTGATTCAAGGAGTTACATTTTCAGCCATTGTCTATAATATTAAAATATGACTGTTTAATTCTAATGGTTGTGTTTGATTTTTACAGGAGAAGATGTTTGGTCTTACGCAAAGGGGCTTCCTCAGTTGTTTCAGCAGGGTGGAGTATTCTACAGCATAATGAAGAAAACAACAGGTATTTCCAGGGTTTTTGTTTATCCCTTTCTTCCTCTGTTTTCAAATCCTGCAAACTGTAAATTGGTATTGAATCACTTGTAAGCATGAATGTATTTTTATTTTATTTTATTAGTCTGGTACCTTTTCATTCTTATAATATTGTGGAACTTCTTATGCTCCCTCAGAAAGCCTAAGACTAGGCAATCTCCCTAAGCCTACTTCTTTGAACTTAAACCTCTTATTTTCTGAATTTTTTGCTTCCTGAATTGTACAAACAATTTTTTTTTTGGTGACAGATTGACCAAAATAAATTAATGGGTTTTTAAAAAAAATTCTTTTCCCCCGTAAAGATCAAATAAAGAGAAAAACATAGGACCTGTTGCTGTTATACTTTAAAACAGTTACTAGAAGGAGTTTATCTTTCTAGTGTGCTTCTTGTTAGATATTTTGCTGCAAGTTTTAAATTTAAAAGGTTGATTAAATTTGTCTTTTGTATTCCTAAGGTGGTGGTTCAAAAGCAAAGCTATCCATCTCCTTCTTCCATTGATGAATATCACATCTTGGGCTCTGTGTAGAATAACCAAGCAAGTAGTTAGAGTATATTTTATTTTTTTTACAGATATTACCTACAAAGAATAGTATATGTTTATTTAGAGAAGAAAGTACCAATCAATTATTTTCTCTCCTTTAAAGTTTATTTTCTTGTTGAAATTTTTACATTCATAGTTTAGCTCTTGTGGTTTCATCTATTGTAATGATTCCTTTACTTCTTTCTTACTGTCCAGTTTGTTCTTTGGCAGTTTTTTCAACCTTAACTTTATCTTACTTATTTCTGGAAACAGGTATTTTACCATGTAATTTCTGTTCTCTTTGCAGTAATTAAAATGGATGGTATATTCAATGCCCACCACCTCTCACTCAATTATTAGCCTAGATAATAGAATTAGTGTGCAAATGTCTTATAGCAGATCTGTTTCCTTTTAGTATTATTTCTTTTACTGTGCTTGTAAAGACTGCTGTGATGTTTGTGGCAAGTGAATTATAGCTCATACGTTGCCTGCTGGAAAGGGCATTTTTGACCAATTGATAATTAGCCAGAGTTGAGAACTCGAAATGAATCCATGGGATTTATAACCCAGCTGGTCATTAACTTACAGAAAATGTCTGACTTACAAGTAATTTTTGCCAACTGACAAGGTAAGCAATAAGGCTGTGGGAGATGACTGTATGTGACCATTTCTAGGTATGCAGGTGTTTTACACTACCTTGGTAGGTAGAATTTCTATTTCAACATTAACACACTACTACAACAATTCCAGTGTGCAACGATCTGACTAATCTTTCCACTTAAAGAAGCTCCTTACCTATTTTTAATATTTTAGCTAATGTAATAATGCAGCTATTGTCCTGGACCTTTGAAACAAAGCTTTTTATCAAGTGTAGGTACTGTTAATCAGTTGAAGTTTGATTTAATAGATATTGTTTAAGATCTTACTTTGAGATTTCAGAATTGCAGTTTCAGAGGCAGTTTTGGTCTATCACAGGAATTGTTACAGCTCCCTCTTTGCAAATGAGCTGGTAAATTATGTACTTAAAATATGTTCTTCAGGCTGAGTTAGACAGGTAGGTGTTCGAGGGTAAATTTTGTTCTGTGTTTTGGCTGTTTTGTTTTTGGCTTCCATGAATATATAAAGAAGGAGCTGCATGTCTGAAGCTCTTGAAATAAAATCCTATTTGTAGATTTCTGCAACTGTGCAAGTGCAAATCAGAAGCTGTAGTGGATGAGTGAGACTGGTCAGTTAGTTCATCAGTATGAAAACAGTTCAATAACATTTCAAATTATTGAATGACCTTTTTCATTGATGCCCATAATACTCGTTTTGAGTGCATTGTATTGATAACACAGAAATCAAATTTAGTTGATGTGTTTCTTCCCTTCTGAATAATTTTTGGTGGTTTTCTTCAAGAATTTTAAGAATGTGAGGAAAAATCCCAATAATTTACCTACTCCTGGCACCTTTTAAACAGTGTTGTTTTCATTGTAGCTCTCCTTGCATAGCTGATGGAACTCAAGTGAAGAGAGTGTTTGCAGCCAAGTTTTCATCTGCAGATAGCTTTTAACTCACAGGAAGCCATCATCACTGAAGTGATACCTTATTGCTTTACTGCAGCCTGTATGGGACGGAGTTGAAAGAGTTATTTCGTGTTTTATGATGATAAACTGTTAAAATGAATGTTGTCCATTTTTGACACATAGAATCTTCAGAACTTAAAATTATCTAGTGAACTTTCTGTTTTTACAGATTGGTCAAATTGTAAGTGGGACAATGAAACAAACAGCAGATCAAAAATATTATGCCTTATGTTTGTTCTGTAAAGGTTAATAGTTATAATCTCCAGGACTACTCAACTTAGTCAGCTTGAAACACTTTTGTTTATCTAGCAACACTTCCTCTCTGAGAAAAAGACAAAATACCAAATTTGAAATTCCTCAGGCTTAGCAATTGTTACACACCCTGAAATCCTACTACAGTTCTGACTAGTATGGAAGTGGTCTTAGATAGTACTTCTACAGATAGTGTTTTGAAATGTGCTCCTTGGCAGTTTTCTGGTTTTGGTGTTTGTTTGGTTGATTTTGTCTTGTTTTGGGTGGGAATGTGGGATGGTGGTAGTGATGGGGTTTGGCTTGGTTTGTGTTACTGCAGGCATATTCTATTTCTTTAACTTCTACTGTGTTAGGTAATAACTTTCAGTGTGGGTTTTTTTACATACTTGGTTCAGTAAATTTAAATACAATAATTACTGTGTGTTCAGAGCATGCCTTAAAATATGTTAGCACTTTGAATAACTTTTTCTATCTTTATAGGTTTGGCTGATGGCAAGCACTGCACTTTTCCACATCTGCCTGGTAAAAACTTTGTGTACAATGCAGCAGAAGACAGATTAGAGCTGTGTGTGGATGCTGCTGGGCACTTTCCAATCGGTCCTGACGTTGAAGAGCTGGTTAAAGAGGCCTTAAGCCAAGTGCGAGCTGAAGCTACTTCAAGAAGCAGGGAAGCGAGTCCTTCGCACGGAATGCTGAAGCTGGGTAGTGGTGGAGTAGTGAAAAAGAAATCTGAACAACTACATAATGTAACTGCATTTCAAGGAAAGGGCCATTCCCTAGGAACTGCATCTAGTAGTCAACAACATGATCAAAGGGCCAGGGAAACACCACTTTTAAGAAAGCATAGCACAGAAACAGACTTCAGTCCTTCTGCTAAAATTGAGCCTTCTGTATTCACAGCTGCTTCTGGTAACAGTGAGCTTATCCGAATTGCTCCGGGAGTTGTGACAATGAGAGACAGCAGGCAGCTTGACCCCACTCTGATTGAGGCACAGAGAAAAAAGTTGCAGGAAATGGTCTCTTCTATTCAGGCTTCAATGGATAGACATTTGCGGGATCAGAATACAGAGCAGTCAGCATCAGTTGATGTATCTCAAAGAAAAGTAGAGGCAGTGAGTTCAACTGCTAAAGCTGGGAGCTTTCAGGCTGGCTTACCCGAATCATTTTCTGCACCAGGTGGTACTGAACACTTGAATACCGAATCAACTGATGGTAACATGGTGAATTCTGTGGGAACAACATTCCCTGCGAGGTCTAAAGCACAAAAGGGAAATTCTGTTGAGGAGCTTGAGGAGATGGATAGTCAAGATGCAGGAATCACTAATGCAACTGAGCCAATGGATCACTCTTGATAGGTTAAAATCTAATAAGGGTAGAAGAAATTACTGTTCAAATGTAATGTTTATTGGCTGGGCCACACAAAGTGATTAGTTATTAAATCTTGTATGTATGTCAAAGATTATATCATCTTATTCAGTGCATGATAAGCGTGTGATTGGCAATAGCTTTCAATATTACCATACTGCTGCCCAGGCTGGCTCTGTTACCTGTAAATTAGTTATTAGGAAATGCACTGAGATGAATATCTGCTGTACATGTGGGTTCTTGAAAATTCTTTGTAATTTTTAATTCCTTAAAAGTCTTAAAATTTAAGCCCATGCAAGGTTCCTACCATGCTAGTTTAAGGTTGCTGGAAAGGCTAGAACAGGCAAAACTAGAAATTTGACAAAGTTAATTCTGTCCCAGGTACTTAATTACAGTCAGAGATACACTATAAACATGAATTATACATACATTTCAAAAAGCAACTGAAACTAAACTACTGCTAAATTTGATAATGTAGCATATACAGTACTTTTAATTACATTGTGCTGGCACTTTCTCCAGTTCAATAACTTTTTCATTCATACAGCTGTTTATGCCTCTCAGAAATCTTGGAATGTGTGTGACTTTAGCAAACTCTAATTTCTCCATACTGTCAGTTTAAGTTAGTAAAAAGGCTACACTAGCATATGATGAAGATAAAGTGAATGTGGTGTGGTTATGCATGGCTGTCTGAGCCAACACAACCATTTTGGTGCTCTGTTAGTAAGTGATAGCACGTCTTTATTTCCTCCCAAATACCGAGGTAGTCAAGTGTTGTGCAACTTTTAAGACAATTACAGGAGAAAAGTTGGCAATTTCAATAAACAACAAACAGCAAATCCATTTCTTTTAAAATACTTTGATTACTAGCATTGGTTAGAAATGGCAAAAATTAAATAACAGCTGTCCTCTTAAGAGCAAATTAAGAATTTATTGGAAGGAAATTACTCTAACATACATTATCCTAAAGTGTTTGGGGATAATTGAGCTTTTAGAAGCTCAGTGTTTACTCTGTGGGAACAAGGAATACATGCTGTTTCAGTGTCCATAAAGACTACCCACCTCTCTCAGCCTCACTTCAGTTTGTGGTGCAGATTTCCCTGCATCAGTGATAATATAACTGGTATCCACTTAAGTAGTGTGTTCATCAGACCTGTAGTGCTAGTTTTTAAGAAGCAGCCACTGTGCTTGCTCCCTAAGGATGGAATGTGTTTCTGATACTGCACTTTGCTTCCTATCTTCATAGTCATATTTAAATGCACTATTATTGCTTCCTCTCATGGTAAAATAACATTGAATGGATGAAAGATGTTAAATACAGCTTCAAATGATTTAAGAGCATTTAAATACTGAAGTCTGTGTTTGTGCACATGTGGGTTTTTACCAGTTCACTAATGTGGTTTGTGTTGTATATGTTTGTATTCAGAAAAGTCTCCTCACTTTTTACATTTCTAGTCACTTAAACAGTTCTAACCATTAGTATGATAAAATGTCCCATGAGGAAGGATTTATTTTTGTATGTAAAACTGAAATGAAGCAAGTCACTAAAGTAATAGCCCCTCTCTTTTGTCAAGGTAAATTAAAATGCCTCTGTTCGTTAACTTTTTATGTAGATGGAACAAATACTTTAGTACACTACTTAGAAGCAAAAATTAAGGAACACCTTTTCACAAATAAATGAAAAATGTTAAGATCTCAAATTGCTACCCACTAAGTTAGCAATTTGGAAGCTTGGAATGTATGAAGCAGTTGGCTCACCAGAACTGACCTTGCTGATGCACTGATTAACTGGCAGGGCTTATTCAGTGAGAAACAGGATGCACATGCAGCAGCTGGAAGCCTGCCATGACTTCTGAAAACATTTAGTCTCCCATGAATCAGTCTAGCTGGCTGAGGGCTACATCTGTATAGAAAATGTTGAGCAGAGGCTTGTGCTTTGTCACAGTGTGAGGCTTCAAAAAGTATATCAGTGCATGTTCCTGGGAAGGAGTTTAAATCAGGAGAGGTTGAGGGGGAGCAATGTCCTGGATCTCTTGCAGTTTAAACCAAGTAACCATCACTTTGACAGTTTTAACCTTTTCTTTAGAAAAGGTTATTTTTTCTTGGCTGAAAAAATTATGGGCAGTGTATATGAGAGAATTTTAAGTCTGAAATAAATTGAAATATTTATTGTACATCGTCCATAGTTCAGTGAAAAATGCTTACTTCTTTCATGCCATTCTGGTAAGACTACAGAAGTTTGTGTGCCTTTTACTGTGTAAAGAGGAAGGCTTGGTTTAGTTTTGACACATTTCCCATTTTAGTAGTAATTTGACATTTTTCTTCTTAACTAAATAGAAGTAGAAACAGATAATAGCTCTATTTGACTCACCCTTAGTATTGTCTTGGGCCCACTGGAGTCGTGTAGTTCAGAACTCTCCAGTTCCTGAAAAAGATGGTCTCAAAGGAATGGTAAAATGGTGTCAGTCACAAGATCCACTGGTCTGAGTTCCTCTGGTGTAAAGCAGGATTGTGCATGTTTCTTTGCAGTGTTCTTATTTCATGTGGCTTTCCCATGCGTTTAATATCAGTGGTTTTGAGAAAGATGGCTTTTGATACTCTGAAGTGAAGCTAAACTTCATCTACATGCCGGTGAGATGTGTGACTGTACAGGAGAAGTGAAATAAAGAACACCAAAGTGCAAGTTGGAACAGATGTTTCATTTGATTGTTAGCAGTGGGTGCAAATGTAAGTTGAGACAAATCTGTGTGCCTGTCTTAGGAGCACCCGTGTGCTTGTTAGATTTCCCTGTTAGTCAGGAAAATGGTGATGGGATACGAGGGCAAGGAAGACGTTGACTCATTCTGGACGTGAAGATGTGTCAGTAGGACTTCTCAAATGTCGAGAAGGGTACCCTTTTCTCAAAAAATAAAAGCAACCAACCCAAATTCCTGCTACTGAATTGCCTGTGGAAAGAGGCTGTGGTTCTAAATTCTTTTTGAGTACCCACCTGGATTCCTTTCTTGTCTAAAGACCAACCACCTTCTACACTGTATCTTGTGTCAAAGAAGACACATTATTAGAAAATCCTAAACTTTACTATGGCTTAGTACATATAACCTAAAGGAAAGATGGTTACTGAAAATCCAGCCCTCTTATGAAAATAAAAAGGGAAATGAACTTGATTGCTGATGAGCATATGGGAAACCTCAGGAGAACAGATCAGTTTTCCAGGAAAATGTAAGACTTTTACTACTTCAAATGGCTGGCTGCTTAGTAAGGTTGAATTTTTGATAGTGCAGTTTCTCTTTTTTTTTTTTTTTTTTCAAATGAAATCAAAGAAATATATTTGGGATGTCTTCCTTGTTGTAGTCACAAAACTGCAATGGGCACTGTTGGCTTTGTGAGTCCCATATAGTTTACTAGTCTTGCTGGCTACAAAGTGTGAGCTAGACATTGCCTCCGACAGAACACTCCAGCAGAGGCAGAGAGGCACAGTGCCACAGGGCTGTGTGCTGACAGCCCTGTGCAGCAGGCATGCTTTCAAGACCAAAATACTTTATTTACAATCTTAGATAAGGTAGAGTCTGTTGTCACTGTCACAGGGTTAGCAGAGTTGCTTGCTACTTCTTCAGTGCACTGAAAATGCCAGGTAATAAAATTCACAGTATGCTTACAATTGGGAGAGCGATGCTCGGTCTGAGTTGTATGGAAAATGAACGATTTAAGAAGATGCCACTGTTATCTCTACATTTGTTTGGCTCCCATTTTCAAAAATCAGAATCTACATGCTTTTGTAAAATAATAATATGAATATGAATACGAAGTTGATCCTTTTGTTAACCACAACAGTGAGTGGTTTCTTTGTTTTGCTTGTGGATATCAGTTTAGCTTCATGAAGAAGTTGCTTAAGATCTTTAGAATGCAGGATTCCCTCTGAGCCCTTATGCCTGTGGTTGAGCAATAAAAGGCTGAAACAAGAGTGGTATTTTTCAGAAATATTTTATGTTCAATGAGGATTATTGCCAAGAAATGAAAGAGTGCACTTTTAGGAGGGAATGCTATTTAAACTGTATAAATAGGAATTAAAATAGTGTATATATTTAGAAAAAAATCTTTTTAAAAAGTGCTTTACATGTTGAATTAAAAATAAATTAGCATAGAAGCTATACCATCTTCACAGTACTGGCTGTTATCCAGCAAGGTTTGGTTTGTTTTATTTGTGATTGCTGTACTAATTATATTTGATTTTTTTATCTGTAATGTAACAATAGTGTATTATAACAGTATATAGTGTACTATACTACACTTCACTGTACAGTATTTGGAATTTTCTTTGATTGCAATATTAAAACTATAAGTTAAAACATCTGTTTTGGTTTTATCAGGTGCAACTTTTATCTACACATTAATCACACATTAGCTTGTTTAATTAACACTGATTTGGCTACAAAATGAGTGAGTTGAAAATATATTCTAAGTTCTGCATATAAATCGCGTTATACTTGCATACATGAATACTCATACAGAAGTTGAAAAGCTGGTACAACTCTTAGAGAAGTAAAATCTGATGTCATCCATTTTCCTTTAGTAATGCTTTTGTTTAAAAGAAACTTCTTGGAAAGAAAGCTCTTTAAGGAACAGTGTTTCTTTGACCTTGTACCTGTTCTGAATATTTCATTAAACAAATAGGACCTCTGAATTTGAAAGATTTCTCAACAGTATATGTTTCCTATATTTGCAAACAAAATGCAAGATCTAATTTTTTTTCCCAAAGTTATCACCAAGAGGATGTAGAAAAATGCTGATCAAGTCATATATGACATTTAAGATACCTTGCAATCTGTGATTTGAAATGTTGGTCAAAATGTATTCAAAGCAAAATTTTACTGTGTGCATGTAATACTCAAGTATGAATGGTATAATTTGGAAGAACTAGGCTTTTGAAAATTTGGCAATACTCAAAGATGAACATATTGACAACTACTTAAAGTATTTCTGTGCTTTTTCCACCAGCTACACGTGGTACTTTGTTTCAAAAAGCAGCTTTAATCAAAACTTTTGAGCCTAAAAAGAAGCCATAAAACCCATCTGCAAAACCCTGTGTTACTTCTTCCTGTATTTACTGAAAAGCTTTAATTCCAAGTGTGCTAGCATTAAAGCATTCTTTAAAATGATGAGTGTAAATACACGGACTTAATTTTGATTGCATGTTGTATCATGAAGAATTGAAAATTATCCTTTGGAAGATTTGTATTTCAAAAGCTTAAATGCTTAATGCTAAGCTAGAAATTTGCTCATCTTTATTAATACAGTGATTATAATGTGAGCCAAAACCAGCACTGAACGTATGAAGCAACAAAGTTAAGTGTGTTTTCAAAGTGTTTTCATTTTATTTCTGCTATTAATTGTATAGTCTTAATATCTGTCTAAATTTTTATGTTAGATTAGAGTTGTTGGGTTTGAGTTGTTGGTTGTTGTTTCTTTGTTGTTTTTTTCTCTTTTTTTTTCATATATATGTCCATAGTAAATCTGTTGTAGCATCCCTGCAAAACCCCAGCTTCCTTTCAGAAAAAGGCTCCTCAAAATACAATCTTATTCCTAGGATCAGGATGAGAGTGAACCTTGGCTATTCATCAGCACGTGTTGTGAGTTGTGGAAGGTACTTTTGGTATTACAAAGAGTCAATTCAAACACCTATATTGACTGCAAAAGTGAAGCGAAACAATGTCGCTTTGCTTGATGTGGAGGCTTTGATATATGTTGGCTTCTGCTGATTTGTGATGTTTTAAGAGTATTATTCAAAAACTGATAAAAGAAGTAGGTGTTTGGATCCATAGTAGGCTTGATGGCCAGGCTGACATTACAGAAACCCAGTTGCCACAACTGGTTTGAAATGGGTTATTTGGATTTGAATTACGTAAATTGATGTACACTGGGTGATTCTGAACATTTATTAATACCATCAAAGACGTTAGGCTTCAGTGTAAGCGTGACCTCTGTTGCAGTAACTTTCAGGTGCTTTAAGAGGCTTCAGAAAGGACTATTATTCTCTATTAAGAAAAAGCATTGATTATGAGACAGCTGCACAGACTTGTATTTGGATTTTATCCACCTCTATTTTTAAAAGACTACCTAATTTTGTTTTCTGCTGGAAATAATACTTCTAGTGGCTTGTCTTGCTGGTAGCAAATCTAATTTCACTTCAAAAGTGATCCTGTAGATCTGGACTGGGTCTGTGCTGTTTGGAAACTGGTATTCAATAAGAGAAGAATTAAAAGAAAGATGGCAGGTGGAAGGAAGTTACCAGAAATTAGAAGAAGGTTTAGAAGATGCTGTGGTTCTAATTACCCAACAATTTGTGGAGCCTGGCTGGGTGAAATGCACAGTCATTTCTTAGAAACCTTTAAGGCATGGTTCAAGCAACTTCTTTCACAGTAAGAAAGCTTGATTTTACAGGCTATTTTGTCAATAAGATTTTATTTAAAATGAAACTTCTTTCAGATTGTCACCTTGTTGTGTAAAGATAGAGGGATACTTGCCAGATGCTACCTCCTAATCCTAAATTCTCCTTTCCTACATGCATTTGTGCAGTCTCTGCAAATCCTCAAGAGGTCTCTTCTGATGTTGGGCTGGCTTTCCTGTTTGCTTTTTATCTGTAACTTGGACTTCTGAATCATTTTTACCATAACTGTTTTTGTAAGCTTACTGCCCTCTGTACTCCTGCTTTTAGAGTCAAAGGCAACAAATGATCCAATTTCACAAAAATTAAACTGATGGAAATGAAAACCTTGTTACAAGCATGGAAGCCTTGTATGGCACAGAAGGAAATGAAGGGAGATTCCTAGAGAGAGCACAGGACTTGTCAGCATATTCAGGAGAGGGAAGAAGATACATAAGGATTTATCCATGTTTCTAAAAATTCAGCTAGTAGTTCTATAGGGCAACCGTGTTTTGTGTTGTTTTACCTCCACAGTGTTCCATCTCCATGGTGGAACTTTAGAAGCTGCAGTGTCTCACTGTAAATCTGGGGATTCCCTGAGATCCACCTCTCCTTTCTCCTAGAAGCAGAAGCTGCCAATACATACTTTCCAACCCGGTGGGTGAGATGTCACCAGTCATTGCCCCATGATGGTGTAGGTTTTATGGCAGCAAGAAAAGAGCCGGAAAAGGCAAAGGCCTAACTTAAAAGCATGGGGAATGAAATAACTCCTAATTTTTTGTGTGCTCAAATCTGCTCCAGTGTTGCTCAGTACGTACTTAAATCTTACATCTGAACATTGCACATACAAGAATACTGTTTTCCCCCCCATGTTTTTTCTAAAATAAGGTACTTGGCTTCCTGAGACACGTGCTGGAAATAGCAATTATTTTTTCAGACAGCAGGAGGGATGCAGGAAATAAAGGTCAAGAGTACCTGCTTCTTTTTGCTTTCAGAATAAGAAGTCAAGGCATGGTACGCTAGAAGAAACTAGATGCCAGTATTTATTTCTTTGCTCCCTCTGTTTCTCCTAACCTTAAGTACTTCTTTACCCTGCCACATTCACCAACATTTTTGTTTGTTTTCTTCCATGCATTTGAAGTCAGCTGAGATAGCCCATTCCCTTCTTAGTTTGGAAACTTTGAACTCTGTCAGGTCTCTATTAAGCCCGTAGAAAAAAAATTCCTAGATATCTATTGTCCACTGTGAAAGTAATCTTTTTTTAATTTAATGTTTTGTATCTTTCCAACCCTAACCCTGAGGTTCTACATTGGAAACTCATAAACTTGAGTCCTTTCACAGACTTGGTAAATACATTTGCAGTAACTAAGAACCTTTCATTAACACTTCTTTCTGACTGCAGAAGTAGAGCTAGGATGGACGTGTGCAGTTTTTTCATCTGTAAGCACCCTCTGCTCTCTCTTCTCCCCTCCTGCTAGAATTCTGCAGGGCATGAGAGCAACAGTGCCTTGGAAAAAAAGAGATAAACTACAGTTGTGCAAGCAGCAGAGGCAAGCACCTTTTGGACTGCTAGGTGTAATATAGGCAGGTTTGCCACTGTGACTCTTGTTTTTGTAATCAGGAGTCTTTTAGTAGTCTTTTTGCTGGTTTGGAAAGTTGGAGATCAGAACACTATTCTTTTTATAAAGTAGTTTTGATTTTTGGGGTAGAAAGTCAAGCCAGTGCTTTTCTTCTATTCTCAGGATACTATTGAACTTAGGCTGCTTGCCTGAATCTAGCTTAGGCTGCTGCTGGGACACTGTTACTGCTGCCTGATCATTTGGTTGGCTCAGTCTGGATCCGACTGCTTTAGTCCCTTTCATTAGGACTAATTGTTTACTCCTGGGGTGAACAAAATCTAAGGATTAAGTTGACTTCTCTTGCATTTGTAGCGATGACCTACTAGAATGTAATTCCAAAACAGCATGGGACAATATGTATTTGTAATACATGATTAACAGGTGACTTCCAAACGTTCTCTTTGGTCTCCAAAGTTGTAAGTATGTTTGTGAAAGGAGTAAATTTTTAAAAAAATATTTGCATACCTGACCAAAACTAATAAAATTATTCCTCCATGATTTCCAAAATAAATGAGTAGCATTTAAGAAATTAGTAAACTTGTTAATTGAGATTAATATTATAATTAATCTTGAAGTGTAACATCTGAGTGTAAGTTTAGGAATGTTTTCTCCCCCTTTGATTGATTCAAGGCTGCTCCACTTTTAGCCCTTATAAAGTAATGTTTGCCTTGATAGTGCCTCATATAAATTAATGCCCATGCCATGGAAACCATAAGTGATGTGGTTGCCAAATGAAATTTGTCCTTTCAAAGGAATACTGTCAATCAGTGTAGCTGCCACTGTACTTGCATAGCAGATGAGGTGAGGCTTAGGACTTGATTTCAAAGTGGCAGCATCCATCTGAGCTGTGCACTGACACCACTTCCTTGCATTCTGAGCAAGGGGATCCTAGTGTCGGTCTCTGGTACTATCCCTGGAGCTGCTTAATTGATCTTCTGAGCCTGGGAACTGTGGTTGTTGTTTTCAGTTCAAGGCTTCATCCCAAGGCCACCTCAGAATTCTTAGAGTAGTTGTACAGCCTCCTTGATAAGCTGATATGGGCTGCTTTGGAAATGTGCAAGATGTTTTGTGTGCATAATTGTCACGGAGGCTAATGCATGAGCATAAATTCTGAGCCCATCCAGATACACGTGATTATTTTGGTATTTTTGTGATATGATGGCCTTTTAGCCTTACATTTCCACTCTTCCTGCACTAGCATGAATAATGTTGATACAGTAAAGCAGAATTCATGAAATCACAAAGTGCATGTAATTTGTCTGTGTCAGAACACAGGCTAATTGAGTTAGGCAGAGGTAACAGCACTTTTTTCCCTCTCCAAAAGGCTGTATAAGTAGGTTGAGTCAAAGTGCATGGAATTGCTAGCTCTTCTGAGTGAAGTTGTTGTTCCTATAAGACCTAGCATCTTAGGAAAATATTGTAAGAGGCATTTAGAGAGAAAATCAGGTAATTTTCAGCAGCCATGAACTGCCCTTCAGAAACTTTCATAACAAACAGTTGAGAAAAGAAAAGAGTAAAGAAAAGAAAAAAGAAAAGAGCAAACCTGTTAAGTATGACTGAAGGCACACAGCAAGTTGAAACTGCTCTGAACTGCAGCTTCCCTGAACTGACTGTGACATGACTCAAGTATGAATGACAAGCTTGGATCTTTGGTACTGAGACATGGAGCAGAAACAGGTAATAACATGCTGTCATATGGAGAACTATTTTAATTTAAAAGAGTATCTGGTGAGTACCCTTGTGCTCTTCATCAGAAATTTCTCCAAACGTGGGGAGGAAACTCAACCCCCACAGGGATGATGCAAGCCACAACACCTTGGGTGCTGAATGAGTGGGGCTATGACATTGAATTCCAACCAAGTCAAGCAGCTGAGCTGAAGACTTGATGGATGCATGTGGTTTGATTGACATATTTGGTGTTTCAG